GGGGGGGCAGTAGAGGGGGTTTATCTATTTGTTTGTTTAAAATGATAGGATAATTTTGCCCATAAAAAAATTAAGGAAAATTAATAAATCAAACAATATGTGTTTAGATCAAACAACATGTGTGAATAGGGGGCCTTAATAGAGGGGGGTGGGGGGGGAGGCTTAATAGACTCCATGTAGTCCCATTTGTTTCTTGTTTCTTTACACATGTTTTTTTTACAGAGAACTTTGGCAGTGTGCAAAATCATTCACTAGGAAAGTAGATATCTGGAGCAAGAACATGATTCTAATACCTGTCAACAAAGGGTAAAGAAATACGATTAACCTATTATACAGCAATGCACCCTACGTTTTTATTTTACTCTGTCTAATACCATATTAATTTACTCTGTTTAACACCAGATGAATTTACTCATCAAGGAGAGTCTTGCACACTAATGAGTTAATTAAATTAATGGAGTAATTTTGACATGATGCTCAATTGTACTTTGAAACTGGATTTCAATTTCTGTCTTTATTCTGTCATGCTTTGGCATCAAAAGTGAAAAACGGCTGCAAACCATTACTAAAACTGCTGCAAAAGTACAATGTAGTACATCAAACTGTATAATTATGTTTATGATGATAACTAACTTATCATTGTATAATTTACCTACACATGCAAATATACAAATGGTGGTAATTTTCTTTTCTCTTTAAGGGGGCACTGGATTCTTATAATTCTGTGCAACAAAACAGATGAAACAGTAAGGGATCTACCTGTGGCATCAAGGTATTGAGTGTGCCAATACAGTATCCAAATATACCAGTAATTACAAATTAAAATAAAATCTCAGATAATTTTGCTTAATTTTTAATATACTGTGCACTTTTTACTACCAAACAAGTCAATGATGATGCAGTGTGCAACACTAATAGAGATGTATATACTGGTCAGTAAAATAAAAGTTGCTTTTTTCCACTTTTATAGTTCAACAATAGTTGTGTTTGATTCCATGAACTGTTCAACCAGACCAGGATTGGTGACAACACATCATCGCCATACTACATACATTATAATGAGGTTTATATTCATTTAATAATATACCTGCACAATCATGTATGTTTATTAAATTTCCATGCATGTACCTGATTAATAACCATTATAGCACTTCAAACTGAAAAACATAGTACTACAGAAGAAAATTTGTTTGGATTAAAATGTACCACATTGCATGCTTTTTTGCTTCAATTACTGTATAACTGAAATTTAACAGTTGATTTTGTTGCAGTACCTTGATTAAGTGCCACAATGTTAGGAAAATTCAAGGTTGTACATATATCAATTGCTTTCACATGATTAAATGCAAGGGTGCACAAGCCACAAACTTAACACCAGAAAGTTAACAGTATTTGGCTGGTTCACATTTTTAATGAAATTATCTATATTTTTTACTTTTAGGTACCTAAGTGTAGAATGGGCAGTCAAAAAAGGCCTTGAACATGATTTTAAGAGCAATCGGGTTGTTCACCCATTGGTAAATCACTTCTTTTCAAATAACCTACATAGTGTAGAAAAATACCACAGGTGTTGTAGCACAGTCCAAAGTACAGTAAATCTCATGTTAACATCCATCCGTAAACACTAAAACTGTCTGTACCAGTGTGGGTAGTACCAATGTGAAAATCAGTGGCGTAACGTTATATCAGGGGGCCCCCGGTTCAAAATTTTCGAAGGCCCCCCTAGTAGAAGTGCCAAACGCACGAGTCGAGCGCCGTATATGCACGAGTTTTCTAGGGATCCAAGGCATGCTCATCCGGAAAATTTTTGAATCTAGACTCTCTGAAATGCCATTTCCTGGACTTTGGGGAGAGATTTTACAGAATTCTGATGGTCATAAAACGACATTGTAACATATCAGGGACCCTGGCCTATGTTTTTCCTCTATCGCCTAAGCCTGGGGGCCCCATTTGGGTTGGGGGCCCCCGGGTTCTCCCGGTCTGAGCCCATAGTAGTTACGCCACTGGTGAAAATGCTGTGCTGAGTGGTTATATTCAAGCAGAAACTCGACGTTTCGAGGGCATTCGCTCGAAACGTCGAGTTTCTGCTTGTTTTTTAAGGTACGGTAGTAATATAACCACTCAGCACAGCATCCATAAACATCCTTCCTATCTTATATGTTCTAGGTTTCACAGCAACCCAACTTGGTGGACTGTGGAATTTATGTCATGAAATTTGCAGAGATGCTAATTAAAGTAAATCACACTATTTAGCCATATTAACAGTGGCGTAGCTAGCGGTCCTGCTGGTCCTGCCCAGCAGGACTAAAAATTTCCCAAAATTTCCTTACTAAAACACTGCTTTATTTATCTTGAAGCTTTAAAAAATCATCATTATCATATTGTTATTTTGTCTCATTTTCTCGTCTTTTTCGTTATTATTTTTTAAAAAGTTTTCCGCATTGTGTTATATTTACGCAATTTTACAACTTGCCGTGTCTGTTACCTAGCAACTGCAACTCTGCAATGATTTACGCGCGCTCGTGTTTCGGTCCTGCCATTTTCAAATGGCAGGACTTGCTAGTATACTTCATAGTAAATTCATACAAGAAATCTTGTTTTCTGATTGGATAATTAGGTCTGCGCATGCTCAAACAGACTGTTTAGTAGTGATGGGCGATACCAGGATTTTTAATTCGATACCGATACCGATACTTTTAAGATCGGTATCGGCCGATACCGATACCTATTTCGATACCAAAATAAACACAAAATTTCAATTTTCGATACCGGAAGTGAGTACTTAAATTGCTAGTATCGGCTACTTTCGATACCTGCCAGTCAGCGGAAAAACATTTTACATTACTGTATGTAAAATAAATAAAGCTATAAGTAACCAAAAGTCCGAAACGTAATAAATATTTTCTATACATGACTTGGCGCGCGACATTTGCAATATTAAGGGTTATTTTAGTGGTTCATTAAGTCTTATTCAACCAAGAAGTGAAATTAAACAAGTTGTTTAAAAAAGGGTGAAAGTATCGAACGATACCACGTCAGTAATCGATACCGATACCGCTGTTTGTGGTATCGCTGGTATCGAATACCGAGTACTCGGTATCGCCCATCACTACCAACTACCCAACATAAAATAAATTCCTTGATTCTCATCACCCCCCACTGGATTTTAAAATCCTCGTGAAAATGTTTTATATTTTGTTATACAATATAAATGTACCGCCTGAAAAAAATAATTCAAGACAGTTAATTTTTAAATATTTTATATAGGGTTTTTATTGCCATTTTAAATTTCCAATTTGAAACAAACAGAATTTTGAATGAAATTTCATTGTATTTTAAAGAAATTCAGTCATTCTGTCATTGTTCGTGGAGATACAAACTATTGATATATAAATTATATAAATATAAAATATAAATCTCCCACTGTCTTTGACATTTCAAAGTGTAGACTGTGTCTAGTGATGAGAATCAAGGAATTTATTTTATGTCGGTTAATATAAACCAAGCCCGTTTAGCTGCCTTAAAACGGCGGTTTAATAAGCTCAAAATACAAAGCATACAAGTCTATACTATAGATTCATCATCAGTCAACAACCAAACTGAAAGTTTTGAACCTTATAGAACGATAGTTTTTATTTGTTTACAACTATACATATTCAACGGGTATATAAGGGTTTAACT